ATGAAGTTTATATTTTGTCGTCGCCAGAATGTCGTCCGAGTCCAGTACTGGACCTTGAAGTTTCTCGGTAAATCCGTCTAAACAAGTCTTGCTGCTGTCGGCACTATCTGATCGAGTTCTCCCATTTCTCCTTCTCACGTGTCCCCGTTCTGCTGCGTTGTTATAGGAGCCAAAATGCTGAAGGAAAACCCAACGAATTGCTTTCAGGGAAGATAAATCAATTTAATCTTTGATAGGTGCATCTAAAGGTTTTAGCGAAACCTTATCAATAATGGAAGCACGTCAGAATGTCGGATATATTCAAAAGGCTTGACCAATATTTCGAGTTGATACTTAACAACAGAAGAATGCATAGTACAGTAATTAAGCTTACCTCTCGCCTGCTCACTAGCTCTCTCATTCAGTCAGATAGACAATGAACTAGCATATTCCAATGTATTGTGCACTTTTCCATTTCAAGGTAAAAGGCATCACCCAATTTGGCATAGAAGTAGACCGATATAATATGAACCTAACTGATACCATCAAGTGACTCTAATTTGAAGAAATTTGTTTGTATAGCTATCAGCCGCAACTGCCCCCTGGCGGTGGTGGTGGCCATTTTCCAGAATGGCTACCACTGGACACCTGAAAGATATCAGATATCCACATAGAGGAACCTTCGAAGAGACTCACAAAAGAGGTTTCATCCCTCAACAGGAGATACCTTTAAATGGTAGGGGGTCTCCTAACGGGGCACAACCACCTCAATAGGCACCTATAGAGCTTATTAGGATCAAAGATGATCCCCTTTGCAGATGGTGCCTGGAATATGACGAAACGTCATCACATGTCCTCACTGAGTGCCCTCAGTGACACATCAGAGGAGGGCTGTCCTTGGCAACATAATTTTGAGGCCAGAGGACGTGAAAGAGATTCAGCTGAGGAAGCTGCTGAGCTTCTCCAAGGAAGTCGGCATACTTAGCTGAATGTCGAAGCATGTGGGTGCACAATGGGCCGGAATAAGGAGGCCTACGTGCAGGAGTGTTCACCAGCCCACCATCAGTGCTTCGAAGAAGAAGAAGAAGAAGAAGAAGAGATATCAGATGTTAGATAGAGTTTGCTGCTGAAAATTTGTGAATGTTCAATGATAGTTTGAGGTGCAATCATGCATTTTTATAAGATATATATACCGTGTATACACGTAGTTTGGAAATGAAGCTCGTTAGCTCTATTGTAATAGGAGATAGAGGAAATCTTTCTGGGAATAAAATATGGTACAAATGTCGTTAGGTCTGAAAAGCAAAAGTATTTCGATCTCTACAGGATGGTTTTCAACGTGAGCCTACACGATTGATGATTCTTCAAATGGAACCTTGTATTTTTTCACATATTTAGATTTTTCGTCATCTTGCCTGCACAACTATTACTTATCTTTCCCGCAGAAATATCTACGATATTCCGATGATCTCAAAGAATTAGTGAGTGTGGCATCACCAGGCGGATGGCTCTTCTCTTGATGGAATCCAAGAGCATCGGCATATGTTCGGGTGATGAACAGACCGTAACTATGATTGGTTGATCATGAGAAGCTGTAGAGGTGTGAGGTAGATTCTCGCACGAAAGTTTTCGTGAAGCAACTATTATACCCTGTATATAGAAAGGAAGAGAAATAGGTATCAAACACAATTATTGGAGTTCAAGGTGAGGATCTTTCTTTCAGTGTGCTAGCGACTGAGGTACTTATCTGAATCGCAAACATTGAGTGAAAAGAATTATTTTTCTGTGACGGGAAAAAAGTTTGGCATTTCATCTCTGTTGGCAGGTTCTAAAATGTCACTTTTCATAAATTACTTTTTTCCCGTGGGAAAAAAGTGAGTACTTCTTTCCCGGATATATATCACATATATATACTCTGGTTATGGCTTTTGTTGTGCTATAGTTCCGAAAAATGAGTCAATAATACCGTCTCCGAGAAAGAACTGCAAGTCCTTTTATCTTCCATTCGACTTCGCGGTTTCCTATATTACTAAACAACTACTGAATTCGCAATTTTTAAAATCAAATTACAGAATTGAACTGACAGAAGTGACATCAGATATTTGATTACTTCAAAAGAATGATAAAGATGCCTATAAAACGCAGGTGTCCCTACTGTTAAAAACTTGAAATTTCACGTCGATAATTTTCAGATTTCGAAATAATGTAATATCTTCTCAATATTGTTTCGTACTTCCTTCTGTCACAGAAAAAAATAGTGTATTATACACGGGAAAAATATTAGATTTTAGCTCACGGTTTTTTGTCTCCCTCCGCTACGCGTCGGGAGACAACACAACCTGGAGCTAAAATCTACTACTTTTTTCCCTTGTATAATAAATAACTATATTTGCTGAAGTCGTTTGACTAAAAGGTATTGACCCATTGGGCATTCAAGGAATTCAAGAGAATAAAGAAGTGAGATGAATCGAATATTCGAACGAAATACGCATCATTGAATATGTGGATCCCTGAGGAAAATCAAGTGTGAAATTCTCCAACTGCCGTAACTAGAATTATCAAACAACTCATTCTGTATGGGGGATTCGAATAAGGTTTAACTGAAAGAGGAATAACTCATCATTGATAGTAATAACTCCAACAAAACGATGTTATGAATAATGGGAAAGAAATTGGTGAAAATAACATGGAGTATACATGGATCTAACTAAACTCAGGAGGAATCTGTTTCGGTTGTCGAAATGGAAAGTTTATTCTCCCATCTGAAAATCTACAGTGACAGTTGATATGTCTCCTTCCTACCAGCTGGTAACTGCCGTTACTTGATATCATTCATCCATTTTTTAAAGATACAGATCCATCGAAAAATGCATGAAAGCGGTATCCTGAGAATGATGACTCTGTTGTTCGAGATTGAGGCATCAGCTTCAAGGATCGCTCGGTGAGATCAGAAATCAATGCACAAATGGCGATAATAGGAAAAATAATAATAAAGTTACCTACTTATTATACATAGTTGTGCAAGGTGAACTATGATGAGAATGTGGAACGCCAGTGCATGTGCTATGTCACTGCGAAGGAATACAAGCCTGATAATCGTTCTAGGTGAGAAAAAATACATGGCTTCATGCAAAAGATATCGTTGATATAAGTGATGGGCCTGATCAGAAAGGTGAAGCTGGACAGAATATTCTAAGCATTATCATTCCAAATGAGGAACCCAGGAAACGAGAACTAGGTTTTTATTCAAAACTATTATGATCCAAGACATGTCTGACAATATTTTCTGAACGACATAGTGGACAAGCCGAATCTACTCAACTCCTCTAATCATCTAAATATCTATCCTGTTATCTTCAGGAATTCAACTCAAGTTGTTCCTATATCGATGGAACGAAAGCAATAATCTTGTAGCCAGTTAGAAGCATAAAAGTGATTTTCTTCAGAATTGGTTTCAGTAGGATTTTATCTGACGCAGTTCCCAAGGAAGTCCTAGAGGTTGCAATTAATGATTGCAATATTCAAAAAACTACGGCAAAGACAAAAAATAGCATTATCTTCCAAATTGGCTTCCTAAGACAAACATGGGGAATCTCTAGCTGTGTCGTTAGATATTTGGAGGTTACTCGACCTTGTTTGGCACCAAGAACCAACTCCACAAACTTCCATTATACGGATTACAAACAGAGTATCGTCTGATACCATTGCCATCAATTCCGGCGGTCCACATCGACCAATTTTGGCACCAACATTGTTTATACTCCATATCAACGATCTATTGGGAGCAACAACTCACCATATCCACAGCTTTGCAGACGATGGTACTCTCCATTCTGGGTTCTCTTCAGGAATTCCCATTTTCTTCCAGGAAACAAAAAACTAACTACGAAGGCAGACCAACGCTGTCAATGTAGATATTGCGAAAATTACACCCTGGGGAACCAACAACCTAGTAGAATTCAACACCATCAAAACTGAAGACTCTATTTTCTCTAGAAAGGCGGAACTCAGTATGCCCTCCAAGACCACCATATCTATGCTCGGTATGACCATCAGCAATACTTTCTCATGGAAAAATCATGTCCGATCCATCGCAAAATCTGCTTCACGAAAACTCGTATTCTTGATCGTGGAAGAATCTACTTTACACCTCATAAGCTTCCCATGATCTATAAAGCACAGATACGACCAGTTCCAGAGTACTGTTCTCATATATGGAGTTCAGCACCCAAACATACGCTGATGCTCTTAGATTCCATCCAGAGACGAGCCATTCGCCTGGTGGGTGATGCCACATTCACTAACTCGTTGACCCCAGCAGAACACCGTAAAAATGTCAGTGACCTTCCACTTTTCTATAGATACTTCCACGGGAAATGTTCATCGAAAGTCTCTGCTATAATTTCCCCACCAGAAATATCAGTCAAACTATGTCGAATAACACTCTACCATAACTCGCTCGTCTGAAGAACGACGAAGCTCTGGAATTCTCTGCCAATAGGAGTAGTTCCAAGAACTGGGCTGGTGGCCGTGAGCGTAGAGTCGCTGGCTGTTGCCCAGGCGGTCCGGGTTCGATCCCCGGCGCGAGCACTGAATTAATTTTCGGTAGTTTCGTTGGGCGGGAGGAGATAGGTGGCCAACCCAACATTCTTGGTACCTAGATATCAATCCTTTGGACTGTCCACGGTTACCAGCCGAGTAGTGCTTCGGATGACACTTAAAAAGCTAAGGTCCCCGTCTTCTTAACTCACACAAGTCTCTGACTTTCGAGGGTTGCTTTGCAACTAAGCTGGCGGTTAAAAACACTTTTAACACTTTTAAACTCATAACTTCCAAAAATTCAAAACAACAAATTCGAATGCCTACCTTCTCTTCCTATCCTTCCTAGGTACGCACTATGTTCTACGAACATTACAGGAATTTGCTTTCGTGCACTCCAAGAGATGAAATAAAAATGATTCATCATCTTCAAGTTGGAGAAATGATGAAATCGTCATTTTACCCAAGTTTCTTGGTTTCAGGTGGAGATCAAAGGTCTGAGTGGCCCCATCGAGTTCAAGGAGGGCCGACGTATCCAGTTCAAGCTGGACTTGCTGAAGCTAAAACAGCACGCGCTAGTTAAGGTAGGCGAATGGCACCCCGCGACAGGGGTGAACATCACCGACAGGGAAGCTTTCTTCGACCCTGGGACGATGAATGTCACCTTGGTCGTCACGACGATCTTGGTAAGTTGACGGAAAATTATGTACTTAGAGTCAAATGAGGTGTATTCGGACAGTAAGTGTGACTTCGGACAATCGGTATTTTCCTCTTTCAATCTAGAATATACCTCTTTCGCGTACTCATTCCTTTCAGAATAGGATCGATGATCCTTAGTGATATTGGTATGGAAAGGTGAGTTCTTCCATTTCACGTCTATATTCATATTATGAAGGTATTATCGCATTCTTTCAATAGTAATGAAGTAACTGCTGTGAGGATTTTCGAGCTGATTTTTTTCCCAAGAAATGGTTTGAGCATGTATTTGGTCTTCAATTTGTTATATACAGGTATGATATCCAAAATAACAACCTTTTTGCTGGTCATTTCGGACATGGACCGGAGCTACAGTAGGTACAGTTCCTGGTGGTCGTTCCTACAGGAACTATACACCAATGAAAGATCAAAAGCAGTCACGAATGATGTAGAGATAGGTGAGAAAGGTGTATCATTACTACAAAGTGAGCATCTTGAGAAAAAAAAACAATTCATAGAGCAGATCATATTTCCCTTTCCATTCCATTCCATTTTAATATAGAATACAGTGATGTTATTTCATCATCTGCAAAGTTCAATAAAATGTTTCGATTAAGATGATTCAACATTCGTTTCCTTCAATTGAATTGTATCCGAATTATTTTTGATGGAAGAAGATATCACTGTTTCATTCTGTACAATGAGCGACCGAAATCATCCCCAAGACTAAAAAAGTCGGACACGCTTCTTTCAAGAATATGGTGAATTTTATGTTCGTAACTTCTCTGAAAATGAGATATTTCATCCGAAGATTACATTGAGTGAGAATTTGAAGGAGTCATGGCGAAAAAACTAGAGAATGTCTGAAGTCACCTCATTTGACGGTACCATCTTGCGAATGGCTGCCTGATATTCGAACGTAAATGGGACAAAAGTAGTTTTCATCATTCTTCGTATATATTTTTATAACAATGAAGGAGAAACTCAAAGTCATTACTGAAATAGTATATAAAATTAACGAAGATTTCCTGGCTATATATATGCCACACAGAACATTGAATTACATCCTCCTGAAATCAATGCAACGTTTAGTGTATACAGTGTCATTCATTAAGTTGGCATCATAATGTGAGAAACATTTCTAATAATAATCATCAATTTCTGCTTCAGAAAATATGGAAAATGGACTACTTGGTCGTGGTAAAGTGATATTCGCTACATGTCAAAAGTTAGATTTTTCAAATTGATTGCTGAGAATAGGCATATTCGTTTGAATTTTAGAATAGTCGACAGCGAAGAGGTATTTGTATCCCAATTTCACATATGTTTCTAGTTTATATTAAAGAAAATCAACACCGACGAAACTATTCCGTTCTAGTAACTTTATCATGCTACCAATTTTCGATCACCTATTATCGACAAATTAATTTTTTTCTTCAGAAAATAATAATCCCTGGGGGAGGAAATTTTTGTTTTGTTTGATGCAAAGTTAGTGTCTATCATTCAGAAGTGAAATTTATTTAAATTGTTTTTTTTTTTCAGTATACGTAAATGATGACAAAGTCATTTATCCAAATATCATGTGTAAATTTGAAATAGAAACAATTTTTCCCATTAAACTTTTCCGAAATTCGAACAAACAAGCCTGTTTTCAGCGATTAATTTGAAAATATGAAACTTTTCACATGTAACGAAACTCACGTGACTTCGACCGGGTAAGCCATTTTTCAACTTTTTTTCAACCAAACTTAACGTCCAAGTCGAATTTCGAAATTAATTCATTCAGAGATATGTCGCAGACCGTGTAGACACGTATTGAGTTGCTCCGTAAAAACTAGTCGAATTATCGGTTAATAGTGTGACAGTAATTCAGGAATTTATATAGCAGAACGAGCGTAAGTTACAGCATCCGTAAAGTGAATAATCAAGTGAGTTAGATAATGTCAGTAACTAGAAATAAACAGGATATGAATTCCTTAATAAAAGATTCCATCCAGGAAATATTTCAAGATCGAGATTTCATCAGCCTAATAACAAAAAAGGTAACGGATAAAATCGAACAAAAACTCAAGAAGATAGCAGACGAGCTAAAAACCCAGGCCGATAAAATTATCGCTTTAGAGCAAAAAATTGAACATATAAAAACTAGTACAGACAAAATGAATATCCTAGAACAAAAAATAGATGATATGCACCAAAATCTGAAAATTAGTCATGTTTGTATATACGGAGTAAATGAGACGGCAGATGAAAACATACAGGAAACAATAATGCAGATAATCAATACAAATACCAACTTGAACCTCAGAGAGAAAGATATAATGGCTTGCTACAGGGTGGGCAAGAGAACAGAAAACGCGAATAAATATAGACCAACCATACTCAAACTAGCCAATTCTGAACTCAAATCCAAACTATTTAAAAATGTCAACAAGTTCAAGGGAAAGAAAATATACTTCGCTGAAGATTTAACAAAACATAGAAGAATCCTCCTGAAAGAAGCACAAACTATACTTGGAGTAAGAAACGTATGGAGTTACAAAGGATATTTATACACCAAGTATGAAGGACACAACGCGAGAATCACCTGTGAAGCTGATATTACCAAGTACACATCAAGGAATTAAGATATTATTATACATCCATGCATAACTCCACATACATATACTTTTGATTATATTCATTTAGTAAAATTCTAGCCGATATTAATGAAATAAATTATAACGATAAATACATAGGAGCAACGTCATATCCTTAAAATTATACGCCTATACACATTATATTCTGATTCACTGGTATCACTACTTACTACTTCCATAGATTAAACTTCACTATATCATTATTTCTTTCTGTTTCTCATCTCTTTCTATTACATTTATTATTTTCTGCTATTATATTCTTTTTCTTTTTCATATAGGCTTATATATACGCATATTTTATGATAGAATTTCTTGATTTGATCGAGAGCCATGAAGAGAGAGAGACAACAGTATGCCAAAACTTCAAGGAGAGTATACATCAATGGAGTGGTGAGAATTTTTTCAACATATTCCATTTCAATATCAGGAGTTTGAATAAAAATTTCGACGAACTTTTGATATACCTGGAAAATATACGATATCAAAATATTGACATATTGGTTTTATCGGAAACGTGGAAATTACAAGATTTCAAGAATTTTTCGATTCCCGGATTTGATATTCTTTATAATGAATCATGTTTTAATCAAAACGATGGCATAATTGTATATATTAAGAATAATATCGAGTACTCAACATCTATCAAGTATTTATCTGAAGTCAATTTATTAGAAATTAAATATAAACTAAGCAATACAACATTTATATTAACTTGTTCTTATAGACCTCCCGCATCAAATTTGGACTCATATTTAGTGGATCTTGAAAACTATTTCATGACTCAACCTAGTAGTGATATTAAAATATTCATAGGGGATACTAATATAAATATTTTGAATCCGACTGAGAATAGGGTCAACACTTATATATGCATGTTAGCAGAAATGGGGTTATTTTCATACATCAATAAACCAACTAGAGTTACGGAGGGCACCTTACCGAGCCTAATTGATCATATATATGTGAAATGTGGAAAAAGTAATACATTTGGTACAACAAATTTCAAAACCTATATTTTTAAAACTGATATAACTGATCATGATACATTACTTCTATCAATTAACATGAATGATAACATTAAACAAAATAAACCGAATACTCCAAACACAAGAAACTCATATGTCAATGATACTAAACTGAAGCACCTACTGATGACTGAAAGTTGGGAATCAATAATGCAAAATGATGAACCGGAAATACTGTACACTTGTTTCATTGACAAAATTTTACATTATATTGATAGAAGCACGCGAACAAAGTCGAATTCCATGATCAGGAATCAAACTAAATTGAAACCCTGGATGACACTAGGTCTACTCAAATCCATAAAACAAAGAGACCAACTGAAACAAAGATTCATCAGATCTCCCACAGAAGACCACAAGAATGAGTACAAATACTATAGAAATTATCTCTGTAACCTGATCAGAACTACGAAAAACGATTATTATAAATCTAAAATAATTGAATCTGGAAATAACTATAAAAAAATCTGGAAGAATATAAATGATATAACTAATGATAATCAACATTATAGTTCACACTTCCACATACTTGATGATAATGGAAGAGAATGTCGTACGGATGAAGAAATAGCGAATGAATTCAATTATTACTTCATTAATGTAGGTAAGAATATGTCAAATCAGATAATAAAACCAACATCTCCTGCTACAGAAAAAGATAAAGTCATGAAAAATTCTATATTTCTTCACCCGGTGACAGAAAATGAAATTCTGAATATAATTTCTACATTAAAATCTAACTCCTCACCTGGCCCTGATAAAATCTCGGTATCCTTCATAAAGAAACATCATCCCCATTTTCTAAAACCACTATGTCATATATTAAATTCAGTTTTTGTGTCTGGAAAAATACCTTCTGCATTTAAAGAATCTATCACAACCCCAGTTTATAAAGCTGGAGACAAACAAAAAACGAACAACTATAGGCCCATAACAGTAATCAATAACTTTGCTAAAATATTTGAAAAGTGTTTGAAAAGCAGAATAGTACATTTTTGTGACAACAATAATATTCTTTCTGATTCTCAGTATGGATTCAGAGCGAATTTATCAACTGAACATGCCGTGTTTGAACTAACAAACAGTATATTCAATTGTTTTCAGGATCAAAAGAAATGCCTAACCGTATTTTTAGACCTAGCCAAGGCTTTTGATACCGTTAACCATGAAATACTCTTTCGGCGGTTAGAGAATGTTGGAATAAGAGGCGTTTCTTTGAAAATTTTGAAAGATTATTTATCAAATAGGATACAGAGGGTGAAAATTAATAATTCATATAGTGACCCACTGCCTGTTACTATGGGTGTACCACAGGGAACAGTTATG